TTAAAAACCAAAGAGTAAAATCTTCTAACAATTTTCTCCTTTCTACTAGTTGTCTTGCCGCCTGTAGTTCGTATAACTATCGTTGTCTTAAAGGTTTTTGAAATTTAGTTAGACGAATACCAAATAACTTAAAATATAGATCGAATATATGGGTTTTACATATTAAAACAGCCCTTTTTTACATATAAACAATTTTGAGTAAATTAGGTTTAAAAAAAATGTGATCAACAAAAATTCTGATCTAAAAATAGCATTTCACGGTTCTAGAATTTACGAATCACCATGTCGTAATGAAATTGATTGCGAAATTAATTTCGAAAAAATATTTGCACAACTTTGCGAAAATTATCGATATTCACAAATTACACAAAATTAGGGTTTAAGTTTGATGTTTTCTCCTGATTATTTTTCAGCGTTTTTTTTATTATTTCAGGTCTTTCGGTAGTTTACTGTGACTAGTGATTAATTATGGTTTTTCTTCAAGTCTTTCGCGTTTTTTGGTGGATTTTCTTGGGATCTTCGGTCTTTAGGTGTCTTGGTGAATTTTCTTGGGGTCTTCGGAATTTGTTGAGTATTTCATATACTTTTCTCCGGTCTTTCAGCTGTTTATTGATCTTTAATTATGTTCTATTTTTTAGGTCTTTCGGCATTTTGGTGAATTTTCTTGAGATCTTCTGTCTTCGGCGCTTTTGGTGAGTATTTAATGTACTTTTCTCCTATCTTTTGGCTGTTTACTGGTCTTTAATTATTATTTTTTTTAGGTCTTTCGGCGTTTTGGTGAATTTTCTTAGGATCTTCAGTCTTTCGGCATTTTTGGTGAATTTTCTTTGTATCTTTGGTCTTTCGGCATTTTCTTGGGGTCTTCGGCATTTTGGTAAGTTTTTCATGTACTTTTTCCTGTCTTTTGGCTGTTTACTGGTTATGTTCTTTTTTTTTTAGGTCTGCCAGAGTTATAGTGAATTTTCTTAGAGTCTTCGGCATTTTGATGAGTATTTTATGTACTTTTCTCCTGTCTTTCAGCTGTTTACTGGTCTTTAATTATGTTTTTTTTTAGGTCTTTCGGTGTTTTGGTGAATTTTCTTAGGATCTTCGGTCTTCGGCGTTTTTGGTGAATTTTCTTAGAGTCTTCGGCGTTTTGGTGAGTATTTCATTTAGTTTCTCCTGTTTTTCGGCTGTTTACTAGTTATGTTCTTTTTTTTTTTTAGGTCTTTCAGAGTTATAGTGAATTTTCTTGGGATTTCCGGTCTTCAGCGCTTTTGGAGAATCTTGGTTTCTTCGGTCTTTTAGCGTTTTGGTGAATTTTCTTGGAGTCTTCGGCATTTTGGTGAGTATTTAATATACTTTTCTCCTGTCTTTCGGCTGTTTACTGGTCTTTAATTATGTTTTTTTTTAGGTCTTTCGGCGTTTTGGTGAATTTTCTTGGGATCTTTGGTCTTCGATGGTTTTAGGAAATTTTCTTAGTCTTCGGCGTTTTGGTGAGTATTTTATTTAGTTTCTTCCTGTCTTTCAGCTGTTTACTAGTCTTTAAATTTTTTTTTTCTTTTTTTTTTTAGGTCTTTCGACCTTATGGTGAATTTTCTTGAGATCTTCAGTCTTTCGGTGAATTTTCTTGGGATCTTTGGTCTTCAGCGTTTTTGGTGAATTTTCTTAGAGTCTTCGGCGTTTTGGTGAGTATTTCATTTAGTTTCTTCTGTCTTTCGGCTGTTTACTGGTTATGTTTTTTTTTTTTTTTTTAGGTCTTTCAGAGTTATAGTAAATTTTCTTGGGATTTCCGGTCTTCGGCGCTTTTGGAGAATCTTGGTTTCTTCGGTCTTTCAGCGTTTTGGTGAATTTTCTTGGAGTTTTCGGCGTTTTGGTGAGTATTTAATATATTTTTTTCCTGTCTTTCAGCTGTTTACTGGTCTTTAATTATGTTTTTTTTTAGGTCTTTCAGCGTTTTGGTGAATTTTCTTAGAATCTTTGGTCTTCGGCAGTTTTGGGGAATTTTCTTAGTCTTTGGCATTTTGGTGAGTATTTCATTTAGTTTCCTCCTGTCTTTCAGCTATTTACTAGTCTTTAATTATGATTTTTTTTAGGTCTTTCGGCATTTTGGTGAATTTTCTTAGAGTCTTCGGTGTTTTGGTGAGTATTTAATGTACTTTTCTTCTGTCTTTCGGCTGTTTACTGGTCTTTAATTATGTTTTTTTTTTAGGTTTTTCAGCATTTTGGTGAATTTTCTTGGGATCTTTGGTCTTCGGCGGTTTTGGAGAATTTTCTTAGAGTCTTCGGCGTTTTGGTGAGTATTTCATTTAGTTTCCTCCTGTCTTTCAGCTGTTTACTATTCTTTAAATTTTTTTTTCTTTTTTTTTTAGGTCTTTCGACCTTATGGTGAATTTTCTTGAGTTCTTCAGTCTTTCGGTGAATCTTCTTGGTATCTTCGGTCTTCGGCGTTTTTGGTGAATTTTCTTAGAGTCTTTGGCATTTTGGTGAGTATTTCATCTGTCTTTTAGCTGTTTACTGGTCTTTAATTCTGTTTTTTTTTGTTTTTAGGGTTTTCGTTGTTTTGGTGAATTTTATTGGGTCTTTAGTCTTTCGGCAGTTTACAAGTTTGAACTTGTAGTTTTCGGGTCTTTTGGCGTTTCAGTGGTGAACGTAGTCTTTCTGTGTTTTATTGGTGAATTTTCTTGTGATCTTCGGATCACAAGAAAGTTTACCAGTAAAACGCTGAAAGTGGTTGTTTGTTGGGTTTAGCAGCTTGAAATCTTTTGCAAACTTTTGCAAGTTTTTTCGAAATTTTTCGAAATTTTTTGCATTTATTTGCATTAGGCCATACAAATTTAATTACTTGGTTTTCATAACATGAAATTTTAAAAATAGACCCGGCTGGCCGGCTTTTTTTTTTAAATTTCATACATAAAATTTTATAAAATTTATATAAAAAATTTTTTTAAAACCCATCCGGTTACTATAACATATAAAAAAATTTTTTTAGAAGTTTTCAAATTTTGACCCAGCCGGGTTATGAAAACCAATTAATTAATTTTGCATGGCTTATTAATATTATTATCGTTATTATTATAATTATAAAAAACTTTCCTTTTTTAAAACAATATTTAACAATTCCATCTTAGATATCACCCAATTAAATGTGATAGTCTCTCACTAGACAGAACAGTTTGCAAAAAAGAATTTTCTCACCTTTTATCAAATATAACACATATAGATAGCCGCTTACTGAAATATATTTATAGAAAAACAAAAGAAGAAGATCATTAGATAATTAGATAGTGCTATATCATTTAAAGACTCTATTTACTTTTTGCTAAGGTAGTGGTATAAAAAATTTGTAGTAATCTATATATTTGTAGTATTGCATTTATTTGATACTCTTTTAGTTTGAAAAAAGAAGATGTGGTTCTTATGATTGAACATATAGCAGATGTTTTAGATTCATCAATTATCAGCTAGTTGGTATATATACTTCATTTTAAAAATGAAAGTAGATATGTTAATCTCTAATACATATTGTAAATTTTCATATAAACACTTGTGAAGGTTTGTGAACATAGGATTTGTTTTATAAGTTAAATATTTATATATTTAAGTATTATAGCCAAGCTTTGTTAAAATTATATTTTTAATAGATAAAGAGAAAAAAAAAATAGAAAGTAATAATAATAAAATTGTTATTATTAATAAATAAATATGTTTTAATAGATTCTAAATAATTAAATTAATATATTTTTATCAATTTAGAATATAATAAAAACAAAATTTTTTCTAATTAGTGTATATAATTATAGTAAGATTTGATTATATAAAATAGTAAGATTTAATTTCAATTTTAAAAGTAAATATAAAATTAAAAATAATAACTAATATTGGCGCACATTAGAGTAAAAAAATTATAGATTATATAAAAAATAAATATATCTATAAGTTCTACTCAGGTTGAATAATATTCTTAAGATATATTTTTTTGGTTTAATATTTTACAATTATATTGAAATTAATATTTTTTTTTCAAGATTTAGTTATGACTTGTGTGGCTAGTAGTACAATCTAAATCTTGAATCTAGACAAAGCATTTTAAGTTTGATGTATTTTCTATAACTTTCTGTAGTATTTTAAAAGTTAAATTAGTTATATATATCTTGGTAATAACTTTTCCTAGTTGAGAACAGGTTAGAAAAGATTAATACTTCAAGGTCAGGGTTATTATAAAGAATTGGCAATATTAGATTATCAAAATTCATAAATCTAGCTATGAGTTTGTAATATTATTGATTCTCATTATATGTTTCTGGAGAGAATTCAGCAGTGGGAATTACAAGTTCAGGGATTGTGAGGTATTTTATACAAGAATAAAGTTTGAATTTGTTTGCGAGTATCATGCTATAAGTAAAGATATTAGAGAATTGTGTGTTAGTAGCAGAGTATTAATAATAGATATATTCTCATATTAGCAAAATATTGGGTTATTTCTTTTTAGCCAATTACAGGAAGTAAAAAAAGTTTTATAATACCAAATTGCTAGTTTATTTATGTTTAAAAATGTTCCAACTAAGTACAAATATAGTTCAAGTGTATGTGTATTTTTATTTAAAAAGAAATCACCTTGTAAAAATTTGTATATAGTATATGGATTTAATTTAGGAGTTTGACCTAAAAAGCATATTATATGAATAGGTAAAAGATATTTTCTATGTTTTATTAGCACTTGAATAATTTTATATAGTATATTAAATAAAAAAAACAAAAAATTTTTTGGTGCTAAATTTTTTATAGCTTGTACAGATAGCTACTTTGGAAGGTTTGTTAGTAAAATAATGAAAGCAAAGTAATATATTAGAGAATGCTATAAGTAAAGTATAATCTTTATTAGAATTATTTAATTTATTGGATTACAAATTGAAATATTAATACAGAGCAATAACAGCAAGGAATATGAAGGTAATTATGTAATATTTTTGTTTCAAAATTATACAAAAGTTTTTTCAGAGCAGTGGATAGATTTCAAGATAAAAATAAAGATAGTATATTAATTAGGTATGTTTGTTGAAATAATATTATAGAATTGTTTGATTCAAATTAGTTTATTTTATTGTAATAAATATAGGATTAAAAAATGTTAGCACTATTTGTATTTGAATTTTCTTTAGTTAAGTTTAGTGAAATAGTCTTTCATAGTCATGAATAGAGTAATAATGAATAGAGTAATTCAAATTTTTAGATATTACAAATGTTTGTAATTTTTATTTTGAAGAATTTTTTTTTCTTTATATATATATATATATATATATATTAAAGTATTTATTTAAATTTTTATTTTTAATTTGTTTTTTTTTTTTTTTTTTTTTGGTATTAAGGTGACCTCTTTGGTCTGGGGAACTTTTTATTAGAGTATAGATGAAGT